AAATTATCAGTGGACAAGATACAAATCCCAGCATGCAGCTGGCTAGAAGGGTACGCTGGAACTTTTAGTTCTCTCTGTCCTAAATAAATTCTGCCCCTAGTTCAGGGGTGGGTAACTCTGGCCCTACTGTAGTTAAAGCTGAGCTTTAACTACAGATCCCAACATGCCTCTGCGAGTCATGCCTGTAACTGTCAGTCTTGCAATGCCTCATGGGACTTGTAGTTCGACAGCTGAAGGGCTGAAGTTGCCCACCCCTGTCCAAGTTCAATGCCAAAGATGAGTAGTCCATGTAGTGAAGATAATACAGTAATACATATATATCTATAGTTTGATTAAAAAAACGTATTCTTTATTATCAGCGGGGGAAACTACAAATCTCAGAATGCAGCTACCTTGCAGGGTATGGTATGCTGGAACTTGTAGTTCTCTTTAGCTGTAAGTTTCTGCCCCCAGTCAAATGGCAAAAAGATGAGCTTCAATTTTATGGTGCTTCTGTGTAGTGGGGTTCACAGAAAAATGTCAAAAAATTATAGAAACAATTATCTCTGAAACTACAAATCCCAAAACTACAAATCCCAGAATGCAGCTCCGCTAGCAGGGTATGCTTGAACTTGTAGTACTCTCTAGCCATAATCATTTCTGCCCCCAGTCCAATGCCAAAAGATGAGCTTTAACTCAATGGTGCTCCTGAGTAGTGTAGGTGACGCAGGAAAATGGGGAAATAATGATACTTTCAGTTATTTAAAAAGAAAAATTGAGATAAAGCAATTAAGTGAAATTAAAAATACATTAAAATGAATTAAAATTGAAATTACATTTATATTGAACTAAAAAATACATTAAAATGAATTAAAATTGAAATTAAATTTATATTGAACTAAAAAATACATTAAAATGAATTAAAATTGAAATTAAATTTATATTGAACTAAAAAATACATTAAAATGAATTAAAATTGAAATTAAATTTATATTGAACTAAAAAATACATTAAAATGAATTAAAATTGAACTTAAAATTAAATAAAAAATTAAAACTGAACTAAAAATGTAAATAAAATGAATTAAAATTGAACCAAACATTTAAACAATAAGATAAAAAAAAAAAATAGAGTAACACCGCAGCCTGACTTTCGGTTTGTTTTTGTGCCCCTAGCAGTTTAAAAAAAAAAATATTTTTATGGCTGGGGATAAATACTGGTTTGTTATCTGACCATGTGATGAGTAATCTGCATTTCATACAGTGCAGCTGTGTTCTAGATTGTGTTTATTGTAAGTGCAATAAAGCTGTAAAAAGAAAAGGGGAAAGAAAAAAAAAAAATCCAGCAGTAGAAGTGCTGGCCAATGAGAGGAGGGTATGGGCGGGGTTAAGGCAAAGGAGGAGGCGTGTTTTGGTGAGGAGTTCTTATTTGTTTGGTGTGTTGGGCTCGTGTGGTCATATACATGGGGAGCCTAGGAGGAGGCAGCGTGCTGCTCAGGTACACATGTGTCTTCAGGGACAGGGGGGGTGGTGGTCTGCCCTGCTTATGTTTGAGCCGGCATCTAGGATCCACTTCCTAAACCTTTCTTCCTTTCATCCCCCCTACACATCTTTCCTGTCCCATCAGCTTGTCATGACCTGCAAGGCAGCTCCACCGATTGTCCTATAGCTGTGATCACTGAACATCCATTCGTCTGTTGCTGAAACCCCAAAAAAGCATTCCGCTGACCTCGACGCAAAATGAAATGGTAACGCCGCGCTTAGCCCTGTCCCTTTGTGTGTTTGTCCCTTGATGGGAGACGTACGGTCGATGTGCTGATCTCTTAATCCCAGCCGGGTTGCTTAGAGGATCATTGTTGACAATCCGTTTTGGATGGAGGGGACTTGTGTGTGTTTCTTAGGCTGCTTTTGTGTGAAGTCATAGTTATGGTGGCAGCCGAAGGGAAGTGCAGCCTCTCTCTCTGCTGGAGCCTGTTAACTCCTTTCCTGCCATCAAATGCTGAAATGGTCCTTGTGAGACCGACCCTTGTGGTCTGGATCCGGCGGAACTAGATTGTCATATGGAACCTTGTCCTTTGTACACCAACCCGACACTACGATCCCTCATATGTCTTCTGTACACCAACCCGACACTACGATCCCTCATATATCTGTCTTCTGTACACCAACCCGACACTACGATCCCTCATATATCTGTCTTCTGTACAATAGCCCGACACTACGATCCCTCATTATATGTCTTCTCTACACCAGCCTGACACTACGATCCCTCATTATATGTCTTCTCTACACCAGCCTGACACTACGATCCCTCATATATATGTCTTCTGTACACTAGCCCTACACTACGATCCCTCATATATCTGTCTTCTCTACACCAGCCTGACACTACGATCCCTCCTATATATGTCTTCTGTACACTAGCCTGACACTACGATCCCTCATATATATGTCTTCTGTATATCAGCCCTACACTACGATGCCTCATATGTCTTCTGTACACCAACCTGACACTACGATCCCTCATATATCTGTCTTCTGTACACTAGCCCTACACTACGATCCCTCATATATCCGTCTTCTCTACACCAACCTGACACTACGATCCCTCCTATATATGTCTTCTGTACACCACCCCGACACTACGATCCCTCCTATATATGTCTTCTGTACACCACCCCGACACTACGATCCCTCCTATATATGTCTTCTGTACACCACCCCGACACTACGATCCCTCCTATATATGTCTTCTGTACACCACCCCGACACTACGATCCCTCCTATATATGTCTTCTGTACACCACCCCGACACTACGATCCCTCCTATATATGTCTTCTGTACACCACCCCGACACTACGATCCCTCCTATATATGTCTTCTGTACACCACCCCGACACTACGATCCCTCCTATATATGTCTTCTGTACACCACCCCGACACTACGATCCCTCCTATATATGTCTTCTGTACACCACCCCGACACTACGATCCCTCATATATCTGTCTTCTGTACACCAACCCAACACTACGATCCCTCATTATATATGTCTTCTGTACACCAACCCAACACTATGATACCTCATTATATATGTCTTCTGTACACCAGCCTGACACTACGATCCCTCATGTATCTTGTCTTCTGTACACCAACCCGAAACTACGATCCCTCATTATATGTCTTCTGTATACCAACCCGACACTACGATCCCTCATATATCTGTCTTCTGTATACCAACCCGACACTACGATCCCTCATTATATGTCTTCTGTACAATAGCCCGACACTACGATCCCTCCTATATATGTCTTCTGTACACCAACCCGACACTACGATCCCTCCTATATATGTCTTCTGTACACCAACCCGACACTACGATCCCTCCTATATATGTCTTCTGTACACCGACACTACGATCCCTCCTATATATGTCTTCTGTATACCAGCCCGACACTATGATCCCTCATTATATGTCTTCTGTACACTAGCCCGACACTACGATGCCTAATATATCTGTCTTCTGTACACCAACCCGACACTACGATCCCTCATTATATATACATATCTTTCTTCTGTACACCAGCCCAACACTAGATATAGATACATACATAGATGGATTGATATATACATAGATGGATAGATAAAGATGGCGTGTGTTATGGCTGATGATCTACTGCCCAGGTGCCTGACCTGTGGCCCTTTGGGATTTTCTGTGCATCCCTCAGGGAGCCTGCGGGGAGTTGTCTGTGTTTCCTTATTGCCCTGTTATAGCAGTTATTTCTTGCAGTTTTTTGTAATGTGTCACCACTCTGTCTCCTGAGCATTTCCACATTTTCCTACAGCTCCTATAGAACATGGTGCACTCTCTGACCAGCTCCTGTAACGTGTCTGATGTCTCTGACCAGCTCTTGAACATGTATGCAGTCTCTGACCAGCTCCTGTAACATGTCTGTAGTCTCTGACCATCCCTTGTAGCAAGCCTGCAGTCTTTAACCATGTACTGTAAATGTGCCATCTCTAAAAGCTTTTTGTAGCAGTACATTCACTAAATATTACATGGGGCCCTTTGGTGATGTCAGGGGCCACACTTGAGCCCCCCGATATCATGAAAGTTGACCAGCTCTGCTCTGTCACATCTTCAGACTTTGTGTCACTGCATCCTTGTAGCTTGCGGCGTCCCCAGTACACCCTCTGTCTCTGGACGGGCATTTGCTCCAAGGCAGAGCCCCCGTTGTTTTAGAGGGGTGACACAGGGTGAGATCTGACCTGATGAAATTGACAACTCCCCCTCCGTTCCCCTTTCCGTGTATTAATAGCAGCCTCCGGGCCGGTGATTATGGAAAGTCCTTCGGATCAGACTTAAAGGGACAAGCAGAGACTCTGGCAGGCTTTGCTAGGCCACAGCAGGAATTAGCAGCTGCTCTGGACAGCTTGCCCCGCGAGTCGGCTCACTCAGCTCCTGCTATCTTCTCGGCCCTTTTCCCCCCTCTCTCCTTTTTTCTGTGTTGAACAAGCCTGTGATTTTGCGGTTTCGCCATGCTGAGAATACATTCTGGACCATTTTTCTTTTTCTCCTGCGTGTCGTTGGCACAGTAATTGTATACTTTGAAGGAAGGAAAGCCTCTTCTTCGGTTTCTTTAAATAGTAAATGAAACTCCTGAAGGCAGGTTTTGAAATCTAACACAAACCAGAACCCTGACGGTTGACATTAAGGCACTGGGAACTGTTTATACTGGGAACACTCTAGACAGTTCTCGCTGAAGTAGTTTAATGTAATCCACGCTCGGCTTCCCAGACCACGTTTCTGGGATCGTGTTGGGTTGGAACATGTGTTCGCGTTTACGGGGAGAGGGGTGTGAAGAGATTGCCCGGTTCCTACTGCCTTTTCCTTTACGGGACTGATGGGCACGGACTGGGCAAAGGAAGGGACGTTGCTCTTGGCAGCCACGTTTAGGTTTTGCTCTCTATGGCTGTCTGGGAATTTCTGCAAGACTCAGGTGTCTAAAGACTTGTTGGGTCAAGAGTCAAGCGTTCTGGTTGGTGCCAGAGGTCCAGATTGCGGTGCTGTTTAGGTATGTTCAGATACCAAGTACTGTACTCAGTACAGATACTTTTCCAGCTCCAAGACTAGAGAAAAACTCAAAAGTTAGGAGGCAGCTGTCATTTGTAAGGAGCACACGGAGCTCCTGGGATTTGTACATCTGTTTTAATGTATGATTTGTTATTTTTTATAAATATAAATAAAGTGATGCACCAATACAATTTTTTCCAAGTATAAGTACTGATACTTGTCCAAGTCCTCACAGATACAAGTACTGATACATTTTTGTTTATTGTCATGTGACAATTTTTCTAAAACAATGCAGACTAATGATTTCAGGACAGCGTTGGAGCGCCAGAGTCAAGTCCCAGCTGCTACCCGGGTAGTTCTCCTGAAAATGCCAAGTATCGGCACTGGTATCTGAACATCCCTAGTGCTGTTGCTTTTAACCATTGGACTATGAAGGCTGGTCAAACCTGCTGAAGGCCAGCTGGAATCCGCTAGATACGGGCAACACTTCTTTCTTTGCTTTAGTTTACGTTTTAGATTTGTATTCATTTTTTCTGAGTTTTATTTTGCTTTGAATGCAGACTTGTTAATGAGCTTATCCCCCTCAGTGACCGTAAACTCAGGAGTTAAATCCTAAAAATGCATTGAAGTACTTCAACTATTAACTAAAATGTATCTTATTTGTGCGTCACTCGGCTGTAGATCCTCAAATCATCTCTGAGTTGGTGCTGACACTGTCCTTCCTTCTGGAGGGGGGCTACTTTCGTTCCCCATGGTCCCTGTGTGTGTTGTAAAGTAGTCACCACTCCAAGCTAGCTGCCGTGATGGACTACAATCTCATGTTTAGTTTATTAATTTGTATTGAGATTGTAGTCCATTACAGGAGTGAGCTTGGATCTGTGAATACTTTACAACACACACAGGGACCATGATGGACCAACAATGTCACCCTTGCCTCTTGGAAACTTTAGTAGCTGGGCCCGAGGTAAGTATTTTATTTTCTGATGAATGGTCTGCTTAGAAATGGCTTCTTAAAGCCACTTGTGTTGGCAGGAGCAGCGGGGCTTACAGAAAGCAGACCTTCTAATTGGCACGTAAGTGTATGTGTAGCCAAAACTTTTTTGTTAGGGTTGGAATCCTTGCCAGGTTTTGATTGTGGTCTGTCTCTCTGCGAGGGAGGTTCACCCCTCTCCATCTGTCCTGGTGAACAATGTTGACAAGACGGAAACAATAGGTAATCCAAAATTGTTGACTTGTCAACAGAATGCACGGTAAGGGTAAATCTGCCAATGAGTAGACTCGTAGAGAATTAGACTGGTCAGGTATTTTGAGAGCCAGCGGTGCCGACTAGCCAGATACTATAGGTGTGTGGCCAGGTTTAGAGACGCAACAGGAAGTGAGGAAATCCTTATAAAAGGGATACAGACAGCAAAAAGTGACAGGACT